ATCTATCTATCTATCTATCTATCTATCTATCTATCTATCTATCTATCTATCTATCATCTCTGAGTTTATGTGCCACTCCAGTCCAGAAGGACTCTGTGCAGTTTACATTCTTAGAGTAAGAGGATTAAAATGATAAAGCAACTTCACAAAATAATAGAACTTCAACATCAAAAATAATAGCAACAATTACCAAAAAGTCTAAGGCTAAGAAGAACAATGAGCATCCAAGCTCAACAGGGGGGTGGGGGGCTCCACCTTATACTGGATGTCTTCTCAGGGTTTTCTTTAAAAGCCAGGGATCAACAGCTGTCCTAAGACAGAATAGGATGGGGGGAAGTCAGATCTTGGGCAGTAAATTACTCCAAAGAAGCAGGGCTGCAACTGAGAAGCCGCAGCTCCATGGGACCTGTAGATGACAATCCTTAGAGAAGGGATCCAGAGGAAGTCTGTCGTACTCAATTGTACTGGACAGGCAGAATCCACTGGTAGTAGAAAGCCTTGGAGAGAACCATGCCCTGGACCATGAAGGACTTGCAAGGTGGGTATCAGCACCTTAAATTGCACCTGGAAGTTGACCAGCAGCCAGTGTGGCTCTCAGAGTAAGAAACCTTCTGTATTTCCATCCCATTTGGGACATAGCATGGTATATTCCCTGATATAAATAGATCTGAATTTTGCAGGCTTAAATGTGTATCTTACACTTTATCCACAGTAGCTTTGTATACTACCATATTTCATATTATGATTATATATAATTATAATATTTATTTATATTTACAGTATATATAATTATAATATCATTAAATTATTCTGATGTTTAAACAGCAGTACCCAATTATTTTCATTCACCCAGCTCTTGGTTTATCTTCTTAAATAGAATAATTCCCTTTATATATAATTGATTAATAAATGAAATAAATACATAAATAATGACCACAGCCTGTAATTAGCATTAATATATGCTACTGATAAGATGCAAATGTTACTGCATTAATAATTCTGTCATTTTTAAAACAATTATTTATTTGCCTTTGTACCAATACAGAGAGCTAATTATTGTTTCCTTTTATTTCTGTCTTAATTTATGTGTGATAATACTGTGAAGGAGGTTTGTGATGCCCAGCTGCTTTTGCACATGAGCAAAGATTATATATTTTCCGACAGTATGACATTTTAATTTAGATAAAGGGAAAAACAAAGTTAGAAGCAAAGTCAGTTCAGTTTATACATGTGCCCATCTCTGTACAGAGAACACCTTAATCACTAAAACACTGTGCCATTGTTTTACTATCAACCTAACAGAGTTTTCTGCTTCAGAGACTCATGATTCTAATTCCTTGATACAGGGCCACCCTCTGGGGAAGTAAAAGATAACCAGGATGGTGTTTGCCAGCATGTGATCAAAGTGTGCCCTTTTTTAACATGCAACACACAAAACAGGGTCAAGGCTTTGACCATGCTATTTATTCCCCACTCTGTTACCTGCTCAGGTATGGAAGAGGGGAGTGGCAGTAGATGAGGACAAATGCTACCTTGAGAAGTAATCACATGATTTCCTATGATCAACCCCTGCCGTTTCCATTGAAAGAACTCACAGCAGATGGTGATATTAATCTATTTTGGTGTAATGGACCTTTGAATGCAGCTGATATTCAGAAGCAGAAAAAGTTTTTTCTTTGTGGGGAGCTTCTATTAACTAGCCTCAAATGGCATTGCCAACTATTAAATTGCCTTCACCAACTTGATGCCCTTAGTATGCATTGGGATTTCTAGAATTCACTGGGATTCAAAGAACTGAACATATACTCAGTGTGGTAGGCAGATCGGAGGAAGCTGTACTTAATTAATCTTTTTATTAATTAATTAATTTGTTTGTTTATTTCCATTTCAATTTATTTTTCTATTTCAATTTCATTGAAATAACTTGAATTGGAAATAAATAAATAAATAAATAAATAAATA